CTTGAGCTACAGCGCCACTTCCCCCTCTGAGACTCTTATCTCCAATCATCCACCAGAAAACCAGAAGTGGCGCTGTGGCTGAAGTGGTAGAGTGCTAGCCTTGAGCTGAAGAGCTGAAGGACAGTGCCCAGGTCCAGAGTTCAAGCCCCACAACTGACCAAAAACAAAACAAAACAAAAAAACCCAAAGAAAGAAAAAAAAACCCTTGGGATGTATATGTGTATATATAATATATATGTATAATACATATATATTCATGATCTTCAGTCCTAAGAATTCTGATGTGAGGTTCCTAGGGATGCATTGTACATAGTTTTAGGAACCACCCCCCACCCCCTGTACCCATTGGTTTAAATTATGGTGGTGGTGGTGGAAAGGAAGTTATTTTAGTTTGATTTTCTTTTCTACCGCAAAAGCATACAAATGTAAATAATTTTCCTCCTTCCTGGTTAACTGCAAAATAGCTTTCTCTGAACATTTTCCCCTACTCTATCCATTAGCCTCTATATTAAGATTCTCCTTTAAGTTTCTCTGGAAATACAAAGCACTGGTTTTTCTGCTTGTGTTGAAGTGAAGTAAAAGCTCTGGGAGTTCATAGAAAAGCCCTTAGGATTGCTAAAATGGGTAAACAAAAACAGGTCATTAGGTTGGAAAATAATTCTGAATCAAATAGCAGTTGAGGGTGTATGGCCTATGTACACTAGTAAAGATATTTCTGCTGCTTCTCTTTTCTTTCCTTACTGTTTTACCTGGCAGCAAGAAATAATCAACTGTGTTCAGATTGCTGTAACCACCTAAATCAGACAGATGTTTCTGAGCGTCTAACCTAGTGACAACCCAAATGTGTGCACATCACAAGAGTAGGGGCAGAAAAACCAACATATGGGGATGGGAAAGGAGTAACTTAATGGATCTGGTGCTGGCTGAGCTGGAACTAGAACCCAGGTGGCCTGGCCTCTAGCCCAGCTGACCACACAGCTACCCACACAGGCTGAGCTGACCAAAGACAAGCAGCTCATTGAGCAATTACACAAATAACAATGAGTGATAGATGGTCAGTGTAAGAAACAGGCACAAAGCAACTGCAACCCTATCACTTCCTGGTCCCTAAATTTCCAAGCAGGCCTATAATGTGTGGTCACTTAAATGACTTTGACCAGCAACTTGGCCCAGATCTTGAATCTGGAAACTCTTTGTGGTCATTGCCAAAAGAAGTCTGCCTGGTACTGAGGATGGAAGGTGCTTTTTAACCCCATAGCTGATGCAATAGTCTGTGGTAGTGTGTTAAAACTAGAAAGACAATTAACTGATGAATATAACTTATTGTGGGAGGGCCTTGGTGAGGAGAGCTTCCCCATTTTTTTGTTTTTTAAAATTTATTATTAAGCAGTTGTACAAAGAGGTTACAATAAGTCAGGTTATGAGTACCATGTATCTTGATCTATGTTACCCCTTATATTGTTCTCCCCCATTTTCCCTCCACACATCTCTACTCTCAAGCTATGTTCTGTAGTTCAATTTTCACATAATGTACATTTGATATAATGACTGCATTTGCTCACTCTTCCACTCTCCATTTGTGTGCCTCCAGTTGTTCCTCCCCCAAACATGTTTCCACTTTCTGGTAATCATTCTGATTAACAATTCATTAGTTGTCCATAGTCCTCCCCTAAGTATACCATCCTTTAGTCAGTTTGTGTGTATATGCATAAAACTCTGTATATATTATCATGTAGGTTTGTATTTTAGATCTAGCTTTCACGTATGAGAAAAAACATGTACCATTTGTCTCTTTGAGCCTGCCTTATTTCACTTAACATCATTTTTTTTTCTAGGTCCATCCATTTCCTTCGAAATGACATTATATTCTTTCAAACAGATGAGTAAAATTTCATTGTATATATGTACCACATTTTCTTGATCCACTCATTTGTTGTAGGGCATCTGGGCTGTTTTTATAACTAATCTATCATGAATAGTACAGCAATGAACATGGATGTACAAGTGTCTTTACTGTATCCTGATTTGAAATATTCTGGGTAGATGCCCAAAAGGGGTATTGCTGGATCAATTGCCAAACTGCCTCCAGATTTTTGAGGCTCTTTATCTCGGGATCTGTCTTCCCACCTCAGCTTCAGCTAGCAAGGGGTGGGTATGATCTGTGAAGTTCAGTTTGAATCACCCTACTCTTCAAGTTTGCCAGTGAACAGGTGTCAAAAATTGTGCCGAAATGGTTGAAGTTCAAATGGTCTGTTAACCTGTATTGTAGGACACTGGTATGGACACTCCCTATACAAGGGACTCTGACCTGCTCAGATGAGGTATGTATGTATAGCTTTAGGCCCAGCCCCAAATGTTCAACTCTAAACCCAAGAGCATCCCCATGAGATATAGCTGTCTAGAAGTTTCCTATTTCAAGTATCAGTTTCCTAGTTTGAGCTTGGTAAGTTTAAATAGCTGTACTCCATCTCTCGCCTTCAGAAACCAAGAGCTTCAGGAAGTAGTTAGCAAAAATAAATTGATTGTAATATTTGTTTTTGTGTAGTCCTAATGAACATAAGCAACACTATTTTGAATATACAGACCAGAGGTAGAATGTTAGGAATTTGAATTAGAATGTAGCATTTTTTTTTTATTGAAGAATAAGAGAGGCTAGCTCCATTTTGTATTTGTCATAGGTACTTACTACAGTGGTTCGTATTTGATAAAGTTCTTATTCTAATATTCACTTAACAAGTTTGGTAAGTTTACTAAATGTTAAAGATGGCTTGTGTGCTTATAGCTGTAGCTCACTATAACTCACATGGTGTGAATTCTGCCTTCTATAAAATAGCTTTATGAATTTTACTAAATTGTAAGATCTTTGATTTTGGAGCGACATCAACAAGATGTAGTGCCCTGCACATAGTAGGGGCTCAATAAATATTTGAATTACTTTACAGCTGAATTGCTATAAAAAGGCATTGCACACAAAAGTGGCCCACGTTTCCTGATCGTGCTAACAGTCTAAGGCTGATGTGCCAGTGGGGAGGCCTTGTTATGCAGGTGTTAAGTGTTTACAGAGAAGGGTACGAACACTTTACAGAGTGGCAGGTCAGGGTGGAGACTGCTTGGGAAGCAGCCGGAAAGACGGGAGATTAACTAGAATTTTCATTCCTCTCACCTTTCCAGAACTTGCCCACCGCTTTCTGTTTCTTCCCGAAGGACAGGAGTCGACGGATTCGACCTCAGGAGTTAAGAGTTCACCCCGACCCTTCCAGCCCAGGTGGAAGCTCGCGGGCGGCGCCGGGGCTTCGGGGACGCAGGCCAAAGAAGCCCTGGGTCACGCACGGGGCGAGCGCCGCAGCCGCCCGCCAGGGAGCGGCGCTGAAGGCGGGGCTGCTGTTGGGCGGGGCGGGGCGGGGCGGGGCAGGACAGGCGGGAGGAGGGAAGGGGGAGGAGGGCGGGAGGGAGAGTGGAGGCCCGGGGGCGGCTTGGGTGTCACCACCAACCCGCTCCGGCCGGAAACTGGCGCTTGTTTCCGGCCGGACGGCTGAAAGCCAGCGATCCTGAACCAGCCGCCGGAGTCGGAGTGGGCGACCGGGTTCCGTGGAGCAGGCAAAAAGACCAAAAAAAAAAAAAAAAGAGAGAAAAAAGATCCACGGAGAGGCCAGTCCCGATCAGTCCCGCCTAGCTCCGGCTCAGATCCTGTGTGGAGCGCCTGCCGCGGTCTCTGTCCGCCACCACCTCCACCTCCATCGTCGTCGGGGGAGGGGCCGGCCGGACCCCTGGGTCACTGCCGCGGAATGAGGAGAGGCGGCCGGGCCCCGCTCTCCGCCCTGGCCTAGGGCCTGGCCCCGAGAGTCGCGAGGGTAACGGAGCCCCCAGCCCTGACACCCTCCCCGGTCTGCTCCCGCCCCTCCCACCTCTGCAGAGTCCCAGGCTCTGCCCCTCTGATCTCCACTGACCCCCTTTCTCTGTTCTGGTATTCCACCTGAAGCCACCTCCCCTCAGCACCCCTGGTCGCCTGACTGCCCCTTGCTTTATCCTCACCTTCTCCCCCCCCCCCCGTCTTCCACCTGCATCCCGCGCTCCTAGCCCCGGGCTTCCTGGACTCCTTGAGCTGCGCTGGGCTGTTTGGACGGTCCTTTCTCGTCAGCGTAGACTTTTGGGGAGGGACAGAAGAGTTGTAGAATGGTTAAGATGCAGGATCCAGTCCCCATAGTAGGATAAAGTTCATTTTAAAGTGTAAAGGTAAAAATGAAAAGAAGACAAACTTGTTCCTTATCGATAGCCCAACTGAGGTGCGTCCAAAGTAATGGAGGAAAGGAGCGGAAAAAGATGTGTGTGTGTGTGTGTGTGTGTGTGTGTGTGTGTGTGTGAGCGAGCGAGCGAGAGAGAGAGAGCGCGCTCCTAGGATAGGCTTATGAACTTTAGAAAACAGAAAAGTTGCCATAGCCGATGGAAACTTTAGAAGCTGATGATGAGTAAGCCGGGGGCTGCGTGATCTCACTCTTCTCATAATTACTAGGTTAACGGTGTAGCTCCGGTCGGGATGGAGTGGGATTTGTTTACTGGGCCGGCGTATTTTTAGCTTGTCGGCTCACTAGGACCAGCTCCGAGCCACCCCCCCCCCGCCCTTGGTCGTGTGGCTATCTACCCTAGGTGGCTTCTCAGGAAGCAATATGGGTGTAAAAATTGGCAAGTTGAAAGAAGCTGACTGGTGGCATTTTATGTAAGATGTTCCCCCTAACTTTTTAGTCAGTTTTCTTTTCATGAATTAGCCAGACTTTTTCTTTTCTTTCTTTAAAAAGAATAAGTACTACATAAAATGCTTTATTTAGAAAACCGGAGGCTGGTAATTTTTCAGTCTTTGGTTTCTGTATATTTAGGAGCCCTTTGAGGAGGCTGGTTTCTCTTTGTTTTTTTGAACCTGTGTCAAAAGTGGAAAAGCAAAGTGTAGAGAGAGAAGAGGTGGTGGTGTTAAGAATAGACCCTGCTCTTTTAAATAATTTCTAAGTGTTTTAAAAACGTTTTCTGAATTATATAACTTCTAAAAATATATAGAAAATTTCCTTCTGAGTAAATGAGATTACATTCCTGATGAGGTGGAGAAATCTGCTGGGACTTAGGCTGAGTGGCCCTGGAGACTCTTGTTCAATGTTTGTGGTACATAATTTGCAAACAATGAAGAATTATGTTCGCTGGCCGTATTGTTTCTCAGGCAGGTCTTTTAAAGTCTAGTAAATCAGTCTGCTGTGCTAGTCTATTGATATTTTGGAGGCTAAACAGAACTGTAAAATAACTGAAATGGATGTTGCTCCTGTACAGGCTGAATAGCAGTCTGTTCTAGTTTCCACTAGTGAACTGGCATGCCTCAGAGCAATCCCCACCCCCTACTAAGTGGCCAGTTACTATGTACTTAGAGATTGCAAATGAACACAAATATTAGCTCATGCTGGGAATAATTGAGAAGATAAATATGCTGAAAACATATATTCCAAAACCAAAATAGATTTTTTTTCAATTTCCCGTCTCATTTTGGATTATCAGCACCTTTCTGCCAATAATTATCCATTAACATGAATAATTTAGAATTGAACAGATATCTGTTTTGGGTATTATCCATTCAAGCAGGAAGGGAAATGGGAAATAGTTTACAAACTAAAACTAATATTTTTGGTTGTTGTTGCTTGGTTTGACTTGTCCTTTCATTCAGTGCCAAAGACTCTCACAGGAAACAAACAACAAAAAAGATGTCTGATGTCATATGTAAGCAGGATGAGCAGTAATGAATACTAATTGTTAGTTGGACATTGCGAGTGATATATTACCAACTTAAGTATTCCTGAAGTAGTACATTAATTGCTTAATTTCTTTTTTTTCCCCCTCTTTCCCCCTCCCCTGAAGTCCTTTATTCAGGAAAGTTTTAATTTGGAGACTAAAATTTGATTTTAAGAAATCACACATACCCACACAGAGTCTTTACTATCTATAGTTGTTTTAATCAGTATAAGTTGTTTAGTGCCAATAGCACTTAGGCTATATGGGTAAATTCTATTTATATCTATATCTAGCAAGTTCCCTTTGTGGAGCTGCATATATTCCACAGGGTGGGGATTAAAGGGTTTGAGGAAACCTAGGAATAAGGGGAGACCAGCCCTGTAGCCCACTGTCTCACAGTTCTCAGAAGGCTTTGTTTGGAATTTTGATTCATTCTATGTAACCAGAGTTATGATAGAAAAATTCAACATTAAATATAAGATCTCACATAAATGACACTGGGCACCACTTGTTGAAGTTTTGGAACTTCTGGATAGCACAAGTGTGCTAAACATGCTGGCAGAGCCATCATAGTGTTTTATGTGTGTATATGTGTGTGAACGTGTGTGTGTGTGTGTGTGTACATGCACATTTCTGTTAGAGTTACCCCGCTTCTTACCTCAAACATTTATCTCACCAAAGGGAAAATCCTCAAACAATGCTTTGAAATGTGACCTCAGCAGTAGCTTTCCTGTGGAACTTAAGATCTGTGAAATATTAGAATGGAACCTTCTGAATTGCTCCTGATAAGTTCAGATAATTAATATATTGTGTAACTGAAAGGTAGAGGCAGGACAGTTCTGTCAATTTTTTTTAATATGAAAACAAAAAAAAAACTTTGTGCTGAATAATGATTGAGCATTCCTGTAGACAAAGAAATCTCTTAAGTTGTAGTGACAAGTTGGAAGATATGAAAGATGTAAAACAGGTGCCCTTTTCCTTGGAACAGGACATAAAGTCACGTGTAAAATGGGGAGTCAGACCAGACTATTGGAAGCTTTAACTTGTAGGAAACAATGTCTAAATAAAACCAAACTTTGTGTGCTGCAAGCTTTATGATCTGAGAGATCTTGAAGTAACAATCATTGAGATATAGTAGAGGAGTTTTCTGAGTCAGTAAATTTTGAAATGGACTTGGGCAGTTATGGTTTAATCAGAAAGTAATATGGGCTATGGAATTAGATTGACCTTGGTCCTTTATAATTTATAACTATGGACAAGTTATTTCTCAATCAGCTCTAAAATAAGTATGAACATTCAAGAAAATGAAATGTTTTTCGGGGTTAGGAATAAAAAGAAAAGCTCTTTTAGAATATACAGTGTGCAATGATGGTATGAATGACTAAGTTGGGTGTGTGTGTGTGTGTGTGTAAAATACATGAGTGACTGGAGAGAATGTGAGTTAGTCAAGTCATGGGTAGCAAGAGGGTGGAGGGGACTCAGAGGCCAGACTTGTGGATGTTGATAGAAGGGTCAATAGAGTCATTGTAGGTCCTTGAACAAAGGGTGGATTTAATGAGAAGTATTGAGCTCTTTGGCTCAGGAACTCAGGGAAAGGAGTCAGGCAGGCACCGGTACATTGTGACTCTTATGCTTCTCCTCTGAAAGGAAACAGCCAGGAGACATAAACTTCTTCCTGGAAGTTTATGTATTTACAAAACTGAGTTCTGTTTATACCTGTCTCACACTGTACAAACCTGTGGGGAAATTGCAAGACTATGGCTAGGTTCTCCTCAAGTGCTTGTGGTAAGCTAAGGATGGAATTATGTTTCAAGGGCATTCAACTCTGTTACCTCTGCTAATGTAGGAAGCACTGACATAGGAATTTAGAACTTAATGAAATGTCTTTATTTAAAAATGCATTTAAAAAAAATTAGGTTTATTTTAGTATTTAGGGGATCATACTGATCTTAATTTATACTTCTAAGTCAGTATTACCTGCTGGTGAGGAGAATTCACTGATGTCAAAGAGCAATCCGTTTTAAAGATTTGGTCTCAGAAATCCACAAAATAATCCATTTGTGAATATTATGACTAGACTAAATTGAGTATATTAATTTAGACTAATTTCAAGGTCTGTAATGGCCTGTCAGGCTGTCTTCCCTATGCCTAAAAATCACTGGCAGATGATGTCTATGTTCAAGCCAGAATGAATCTTCACTCTGAAGGGATCTCACTGCCTTACACCGCTGAGCTGAAGATGAAGCTGGCTTTCTCAAATCTTGGGTTCTGCAGACGCTCTTCTATCTGTCACCGTTACTAAAAAATCTGTCAGATTTTTCCTCTTAAAGGAAACTTCTTTGAAAATATGGCCAATTAAAAAATATGGATGGGAAATGCTCTCATGTAAGAAGTAAACATAATCACAAAGCTATTCAGCTATTCTTTCCTGACTTACTTTTCTCCATCTATGTCAACCCACCCCTGCCTCCTTGTAATCATTACAAAACTGTGTTTGTGATGTCATGAGCACAGGTTGTTACCTCTTGAGTCAGACTCCATATTATTTTTGAGCTGGAGTTCAGTCGTGGAATAGACAGGAATCTTATGCTGCTAGATTGAGATTATTTT